TGAACGGCAAAATGATTTACTTACATTCAGTGGCTGTCCGCTGTTTTGAGGGATCAAATGCGGTAAAAATACAGTTGATTTAAGCGATCGTTTTCTTGATCTATTCATAGCCAAGTGGTTTATTAGAAGCAAAAAGTATTATGACTCTTTATAATGACTATCTTGTCAGTTATAGAATTGTTCTTTTTGATAGCACTTCTATCTCTGTCAAGTGTCAAGATTTCTTATGATCTTTACAGTGTCCTCGTGAAAATATTGCTTAACGATGGATGGAGACGAGACCCATCAGGTATATTTATTAAACTTTTCGGAAGGACTATCGCTAAATGTCGTAATGTTCATAAATTAACTGTCCGCTCGCGTCAACAGACTACAACTGATACATCATGGAATAAAGTTGTTTTAAGAGATTTATAAATAGATAATTAGATTTCCTAACTAGGCGGACAACGCTGGCTGGCGGATTTTTCTGACTAGTAAATTCTACTTTAATATCGATTTCCAGATCACTTTTATARTATAAACTTGCAAAAATTCATCTTCGTTATTATTATTATTAGATCTTATTATCGCTTGGCCGTGATAACTAACAAACGAAACAATTATCAATAAACATCAAAGACGATTTGCATCAAATCTCAAAACTTAATTGAGAAAAATAAYCAGTTCTTCTGTTAAATACTTSAAAACGCGGRGGTGATTTTAAGTTAGTCACATGTTTCTGTARCTTTACACTTGCAAAAAGAATAGTAAAACAGTCCTCAATGAGATAGTTGTGATCAACACACGCGGAAAAAAAACAGACGCACAAATGTTCAAATGACTAGCCATCGCGCGACTGTGAATTCAGTTTACCTAATTAATTGTTGGTCTAACGATTTGAATGGTTTTATCTCATGGAGGGGTAAATTGAACCYCTAATTAAGTTACGTTCAATCAATCTGACACTAGCGCAAATAACAGACAAAAATCTCCTTTGATCGGCAGTGTTTTTTGGTTTGTTCAATCGCACCGAAAAACACTGGCCACAAAAGATTAGGCTTCTGATGTATCGTTTGTTTTGCTCCCGCAGAGAGTTGAATTTCGCAAAGTCTTGGAGTGWTAACTYGCGCTAATCTATTAGAAAGTGGATTAGCGAGCTGTTAACCATGAAGAATTTGGAAGCCCTGTCATGAATGTGATGAACTGGGAATGAATGCTGCCAAAATCAAAGTTTTTTTTCCCCATAAAGATGTGAAAAAATTCCCATTGAAAAAGTGTTACTATTTGCTCTAGAGAGTGCAATATATTTAGTGGTTTAGTAATTGAGTTCAGATCTAAAAACGCCTCTGCACTCAGCCTTCCTCACGCAGACAGCTAAATATTAAAGTAAGGCTCTTCCTTGGATTTATACCAAATGAAAGTTTTAATTACAAAGTTTGTGTCATTAGCAGTATAACAATCTCATTTGTTCTTTCTTGTCCTCAGTYATAGTATATCTCCTTTGATACTTGTGCTATTTGATTTCTTGAAAACACAAGTCCTACTCACTCTTAAAACAAAGTCAACAAAAGCAAGCCGTAGTTCAAAAAGAATCTATTTATTAGACTGTTATGACAGACTATCGGCTGGACAAATGGTCATCTAAACTCATTACCAAGCCACTTATACCTAGAGGTAGATACTTAATCACTATTTAAGAAGATTATTTTCCGTTTGTAGGAGTCACCGCTGTTTGGAAGGAAGGTTTGAAGCTACGAGCACAAGATGGATGGCGTGAAAACTGCTCCGAATTCCTCCATGTTTACTATTGATAACATCTTAAAAGGCCAGACAAAAAAAACATCAACTTCAGGTGTTCAAGAAAGCTCTTCATCTAGTACCGGTGCACTGACACTAGCTGAAAAATTGGCAGGTGAGATGATGATACAAGAAGTACTTGAAACCAAATGCCAAGTTATCAAAGAGCGCTTAGTTGTGTCATTCTCTTTTGTAACCTTATTGTATTGGACAAGTCTAAAAGGCTTTCTGAATCATTTGCAAGTGAGYGATTTAAGTCTAACATTTCGTCTTGTAAGATTGCAAGAAGTATAGCTTGAGAGGTTCCAAATTTACTGTGTTTGAACTGAATTGTACTGTTAGCTACTTAACCAGGAAACCTTTGTAAACAAAACATCGAAACTTGAAAATCATTAATTCCGAAAWTAATACAATGCCATTCAAATTTTCAAGGATTATTTGCTATTTTGAAACTTAAAAAAATGCAATCAATCAAAGACCAAATTTATTGGAACATCTGGAAGTAAATAGTGAACGCGTGTAAACACAGACATTGCTTTTTGCGCTGAACTCAAGCCTGATTGAGAGAGAGGGCTATCCCGATTTTTCTAATCATCTAAAGCGTTAAACTACAACTGAAATGCATCGGAACGGCAACAARCTCTTTCATTCGAAAATAAAGATTGTTTCAGGYACTGTTTTGAGACAGTTTTCGTAGTGTTCCAGTATCATTTGTCGTCARTAGTTGTTGGTAATCTGACCTGAAAACTGCAGGCGGTTTCATCATAATTCTACTTCCTATTTCTAAAATAAATGCTTTCAGCTGCTTCGATTCTTTATTCTCCTGTCATTGGAATAAACTGTTTTGAAGTTTAATTGCTATGTTTGCCTTACAATAGAAATTGCAATGACAAATTGTTACGCTGATAAATAGCTAGAAGATTTGGAAGAGTCCCCCAAGGGTTCTACATCTTTACAAACAGAACATGTGTTATAAGATGGGTTAAAATCACTCTATCAAAGCTCTTTTGATTTTCAATATAATATCTTATCTTCATTCAATAAAAATACTATATTTAGATTATCATTTTTAAGCAATTACTAAAAAAAGGAAACAATAACTGTTTTTTTTTAACAGATAGAACTGAATACAAATTTGGACGTAATTGTAACATTGCTTATTAAAGCATCATACAGCTATATTGCACTCTGATAGAAAACTTATTGACGCACTTTATTTATCAYAGATATTATACTTGAAATGAATTGTGATGCGGGTACCCGAGGAAAACAGCGTCGAGCGCGCACGGCGTTTACTCCTAACCAACTGCAAGTACTGGAAAACACTTTCAGTAAGACTCATTATCCTGACATCGTGATGAGGGAAAGACTTGCTKCCTTTACGCGCCTGAATGAAGAAAGAATACAGGTAAAATCTAAGGCGACTCTCTAAATTGTTTGATATAATAATTATTGGATTTATACTAAAAAAATGGCTGATTTATGAATTAATCAGATTTTACATTTGATTCTAAAAAAATGCCTGATTGATATATAGAGGATATTACGTGGCCGCCCGGAGATATGGATTTTATCTTCGAGTGTTGAAAAGATCTTGAGAGATTCGAATGTCCAAGCGAACATGTAACAATCTGTTTATCATATAGTTACATATATGTAAACAAATTATGTCGTAAAATATCTTTTTTTACTTCCAATATATAGAGAAACCTCGAATGTGTCATTTTCACTRGTGAAATTATATGATAAAAAGTGATAATTGATTGATATAACTGAAAAAGTGCGTTTATTACTAAATCAGTAGTTGATGATTGATTAATATATTGTTTAGTACTGTAATAATTGTTGCTGTGTTTTAGAGTGAGAAATGTGAACATATATGCCATTTCCCAGAACAAATCGCCATGGGAAATGTATCTTTCTATGATCTCTGAGATCATTCTCTAAAATGGATTCTCTTTACTCTAAACAAACAGCAAGAGTTCTTGCAAGTACATTGAAACTGACACTGCTCCGCGTCACTGCTCGTTGTCTCGTTGCTTCAGTTTTTATCATATTTTTTGTTTTGTTTAATTTTTTAAAGTGAACGTGTCTTGATTTATTGAAATGCTCTTGACACTCCATGTATTTCTCTTTCATTATTTCAAGGTTTGGTTCAAAAACCGACGAGCGAAATACAGAAAACAAGGAAAGAACGCAAAAAGAACACAACYAGCGACGAAAAAAACAGGCTTGGAAGACCCAACAAACAAAAAAGAAAACAGCGAAGAACTTCAACTTCTTCCACCGAGTATCGTAATTCCCTCAAGTTCACCCGGATCGACCAATGAAAATCACGAACCACAACAAGCAGTCCACCACAGACCAATCAYCACGCTTTSTCCAAGTGGCGCCAAATCGCCGCGYTATRTGACGTCATACCCAATTACAACCAAYCATGAATCTCTCTGTTATTACGCGGGCTCACATGAATTCGATCTTATGTACGCTGGTAGTGAAACCTCGCATGTAATTTGGCCCCGTGTGCCTTTGTCTTCAACTGTTGATATGTGGAGAATGAAGAATTTGATGGGCTATACTAATGTACCCTTTGTACCTTAACTATAAACTTAACTATAAAGATAGATCTAGACTTTTACATATCCTATCAAATCAGAATATAAAAGTACTATAGGTTGTCTAACGATAAACAAATATAATACCAAACTTTATTTGGGAAATAATCGGTCTTTTTTGGACGTTATGGAGTAAATATTGTGTACCATGCATTTTTAAAGCTTGTAGCAATTAAAATTCTTTAATAGACTTGTGTGGCCTTGATTAAGACAACCGGGATTGACCGTTCAAATAAAGAGAAAAGCCGTGATGACCTGGGAACAAGGTTAACAGCTGCCAGAAGAATAATCTATATAGGCCTATTTACAAAAATGTCGAAATCGTATCCGCATATTAATATCATGTGTATGGATAAAACGTACATAAAGTGTACACAGTATAAATAGATATTATCCGCTGGACCAACCCCATTACCGTGGTTAAGTGAAAAGGAYCTGGTAACGAGTTTGCCGCCTGCCAACTTGGTGTAYAWCACTATCGCCGGTTTGACTTCAATGCAAGAATGCTCATTATCACATGATCATCATGTATCATTTCATCGGAACTAAATCTGAAAGCTAGACGCTATAGGATATTTCATTATAATACAAAGATGTACTCAATAAATTCTTATGGTTTGGTATTATGTTGAAATTGCGACACGAGAATCCATACCAAATCGAAATTCTATCACTAACATGTGACCACAGAAACTTTGATTGAATTCCACAAGTTTGGTATTTTGCATTTCTATAAGCTCTTTCTTTCTAKTATAAGTCTTATCTCGTCATTATCTAATTAGGGGATTTTGCMAAGTCCCAACTCGGTTTAAATGTTTTGGGATACCTGTGGACAACAAAATGAGAGCGACTGGACCGAGCCAGAACGTTATAGCAAATATCTTAATAATGCAGAGAAATAAAAGTAGATTTTCCTGTTGCGACTACTGAGCGATTTGCGACAGTTCCGCTCGTATGGCGCACCCCAGGAAATCCACATTTACAAGAAAACACGTCGAGAAATTATGGTTTGAACCTTGGGTTAAATTGTGTCACATCGCAGATTTGTGCCTCATTAGTTGAAAATGTAGCACTCGACTTTTTTTTACTAGTTTGGTCAAAGCTTGTAGGTACGTGGAGTTAACGTATCCTTGTAACCGACCGCTCCAGTAAAKCAGCCGCGCGAATACCACTTTTAGTGACGTGACCAAACTCAACTATTGATTAAATTGGCTAAATGAAAAATAAAAATTCGAGTGACTACATGTGACTACTGCAGCATAAACAAAACCTTTTTGTGGGCTTAACTGAAGTACGTTTTTTTTGTACAAATGTGACGTCCTTAAGAGGTAGATGCTGTCCTCGTGAGCAGCTGTATTCGGTGTTCTTAGTGAATACCGCGGACAGTCACCCCCGATATTTTGGGCACAAACATATATTCTTACTTCAAAATAACTTTCTTTACAGGACGGACACACGCTATTTTTTTAAGTCAATATTTTACTTCTTTTCCTCTCCATACTTAAGATCCTTCATTGTATTTTTTTAAAAAAATATCCCATAATGCATACTAGTTCGCATTGACAGGAGTTAGATCGTTCGGCGGTCAATAACAGTGAACCAGAATAGCGACATTGTAGTGTACGTGAGCAGTCGAGACCAYTTTATACTACAGGCAGCCCATCTGAAGGAAATACATCGGTTTTTTATCCTTCCATAAAAGGAAAGCTCAATGTGTTTAATCCGATAAGATACCCTGACCACAAGTGGTGCGCGTAAACTATGTGGAGAAGGATTATATAGCAAATCYTTCCTGTTTCTTTTTTTATGACTGAGTTAATCTTTTGGGCACAGTTATAACTTCCAACAGTTAGTTAAAGTAAATAAGTTACTATTCTACGGAGCAMAGGATTTTAGTCAATAAAATTCTATAATAAGGTCCACGTGGTCTAGGCATGACTATTATGCGTTCCTTAAGACACTCCAGTAAACCATCCATGACTCTAGTGATCAAAGTACGATCAAACAAGAACAAAAAAATTGATACTGTACAATAACTTGCTTTTTCAATTTTAATTTCCCCAATATAGTATCTTTATATATTCTGTTGCTAGGATCTTCTAARTCCCAGATAGGTATTCTCACTCTCTCACTCCATATGTGATTTCACTAGTAGTACCTTTTGTATCATCGCTCAGGGCTTTTTTTTCAAGATTCACTGCTTTTTGATTCGTTTCCAGGTGAGGAGTCATGAATGTTAAAAAACTGAATATTCTTTTGTGGTATACAACTTTAAGTTAAAAAGGCTATACTCAGCTGTGCTACCCCTTAAAATATAAAACAAAGAGTGTGATTTAACAATGATTTAACTTTTATATGAATTCATGTATTTTACTTGGCTTTCGTAACGAGTGTAAAAACATGCACGTTATCGTTCAGTTACGTAATGTAGTTAACTGAACTAGCCAGACAATCTATGCTATACGTGTAGATTAAAGTTTTAGGCTTAAAGTTTAAGCCTATGTATAAAACGGTACGAATTTGACATTTTTGTACAACATCGTTTTTAAAATTCTGTACTTCTTTGTACATTCATAGTATAACAACAACAACAGCAGTAGCAACAGCAACAACAACAACAGCAACAGCAACAACAACAACAGCAAAGTACGAGGAATGATGATGATGATGCGGATGATGATGCCCCGTCATTGTGTACATGTAACAATTGGTCATTTCTTCGAGCCCTTTTCGTCCTTTTCAAATGTTGCATACGGCACCATTAACCGTATACCGGCACAATCAAGTTATCTATATCTCCCACGTCATCAATTACCCTTTAAAGTACATATCGAAATCATTACACCTGAGTTTAGCGTGGCCTTTGACTCACTAGTTCATTGTTACTTTCACGATCAATTATCCCGGTTCATTGATCTCAAAACGCCGTCATTTTGTTTCAGTCGCAAAGGCGTTGAAGAGTCRGGGTCGTGAATCGTTTTAGTTAATCCAARAGATACATGTTATTTGCATTAAACTGCGACCCGTAAGCTTGACCTGCCTCGCTTGACTCATTGAGGTTTTTGATTTGGAGGCTTAAAACCACTGACAGCGCTGTAGTTAGCTGACGACGAAAAATACACATATATTCTGAACTGTAATGACCACTGCATCCGCGTCTCTGAAATACCAAGGCATTCAGCTATTTTACTACCAAAGACAAGACGCTGGGTATACGATATCGTTGGGGTTTCGCTGCAAAAAAGCTAAGGAAGTTGTACAATTATACACAMAAAAAAACAGAATGTATATTGACACTACACGGCGTGAGAGGTGAGACACTACGAATTATCTCTGTTTTTCATATATCAACTCTGTTAAGAAAGGTTAGGAACAGATCACGAAAGAGTCTTGTTTCCATTATATCATATCAACGTTTGGTTAGGGTATTTTTTATAAGTCTTGAAAGCTTTGGGAGACCCTTGACATTGACAATGATTTGAACAACCCATGAAAACAACCTATGACAATATTGCGCTTTTAGGGGAGAAATTATACATTTTAGTATCATTTATTTGGCTCGAAAAAAGTTCTACAACATTATTCTAGTGGGCTTGAGAAAACACTGCTTTTCCATTGGTTAGGATATTATTTTTCGCCTATCTAACGTAMACGCTGATTGGTTCATTACAGCCTCAATGCGGTGCAATATTTCACGTGCAGTAGATCGTCTCCCGTATCGATTTCCTAGGCCATTCTCCTGTCAACATTCTTCAGAATGATAAATGTCTTCCGGTTAAAACGATCCGACCAAGCTTCCACCCAGCTTCGGGTGGGCATAGAATGATTAATGACTCAGTATTCTTTTCCAACTTGTCAAAATCTCAGTTACAGGGCAAAAAAATGGATTAGCTAGCTGCTTAACTAAGCCAATAATCCCATGTGTTTTTGTAGTTCGGGTCAAAAGGAAAATCCATAAAACGTTTATAAAAAAAAACTAAAAGGTTATCTCCGAAAAAAATGCATTATCGAAAAACTAAGAAATCTTTAAAAACAATTAGCTGTCTGGAGGACTATATAAGCCGATCAGATCAGATTAGATCTCTCTATAAAGCACGTTTGCTGTAACATGTACAAAATGTATAATTTCCTAATCGTATTTGTTATACCGACTCGGAGACAAGAACAGGTTTTCGCCGCCAAGTAACCCATGGAATGCTTCAGGATACTCTTCTATTGACAGTAATTAATTTCCCTAAAAACCGAAGCATACCAGAACGTAAGCACTTAAGGGTCTAAAAGAATTCCATTACCCCAGATCTAATTACCCTTATATCATCATGAGAAGCGTTCAGTTCAAGTGATGAATCAGTAAAAAAGAAAAGGCTGAACTTGACGCACTTGATGTATTTGTAATGATCTCACCATGGCAAGTGTATATTGAATGGAGTTTTCTCCATGTGGGATGGGTGCGCGTAAGATAAATAGAAGAAAAGCCTGATCAAGTTTCAAACCTAAATATAGCGATAGAATACACTGATGATTAAGATATGCAAGATATGTTCTTTTTTGTACATTGTACATTAAATTTGTTTGTAAAAATSAAATTGAAATCCTTTAATTCCGCGTCAAAATGACTCAACTAATCTGATGGACACGGGGAGGTCATTTCCGAGAATGACCAAAAAACATGGACCGACGATATTGAGAAATAAGTCTTACTCTGAGGTCATGGTATATGTTGATAAACGCTTCAAACGACAGACCCGCTTGTTAGACAAAGGCATTCCTTATGACCCTGAGTAATTGAGTATAACAACTTTGAAGAGCAGCGAAAAAGAGTCTAAAACCTGTAGAACACAAAGTCAAGGACGATTACGCCGYTTCTAGTTGGAWAGACWCCTTYMTTWGTTGAACAGAATGGATTAATATTRATATTGTCTTAATCTAAATTGCGCATTGCGCGATCGTGAGTTGTTGTTTTTCCAGGCTAAATGAATTAGTCGGCTCATTAATTATTATTCTATCAATCACTGTCATATCTCTGGGGTATGTCAAATACAAACTCATTCTCTTACCCCCGCGCCGACTCGTCAGAAACACAACTTTAATCCGAGTTGAGGGATATGCAAGAGTTGTAAAGCTGGAAAATTTTKTCGCTTTAGCGTGGCTGCGGCAAGTGTTCAGTTGACGTAAAACCAAAGGAGAACCGATCCAGCTGTGCGAGTTTATAAGGGGATAAGTCCCAGATCCCCTGCCGATCTTGGTTGWTGCACAAATTGTGAGTCCCTGTCTGATTTCCATAGTCATTCTCTGAAAGGAGCGCRATAGGTAAGGTCTTCTAAACGTTTCCGTACAACGTGTACGTATATTGATAACTAAGTGCGAGGTCTATAACGAGGGCAAAGTTAATTCCCAACATACGTCGCTCCAAGCCACTTCAGTTTGTAAGTAATTAGCTGTGAGGGTACTCAGTATTGCATCTTTCATTCAGGGCGGGTATTGTAGAWGATTTTAGAGTTTCTAAGGTGTATTTATTGATTTGTCTATCAGCGGTAACATCGACTAATCCAAATCACAAGTACGTCATAATATTTATATCGAAATTGTAAGAATTTCTTAARGGGTTGTTTTGAAAAGATCAGTTAYCCTCGAAGTAAAGACTGGGGAGATTCTGTWTAGTGCTCATTTGTAAATTATAAACCATCCTCTAGTCGAGGTCGGACAATAGAAATCGAAGAGGTTAACATGATTATTACACCCTTGAAAACTGTATACACCACTTCCTGAAGGGTCAGGCAAGTCTCTTGTGTGTTAAATTCAAGGCATTTCTCTTTGCCCCAACAACGGATAAAACTCATCGAGGTCATTTGTCATCATTGGGTTCTATTACACAGGAAAGTCAACCAACATTGGCAATGAGTAACAACAACTCCTCCTTCAGTATCGAGACACTATTACAGATCGAGCCATCGGAGCCGCCGGCGCAACGAAGCCAGGAGAGAGAGCCAACGCACACGTCCAATAAACCCGTCGCYATGTCGTTAGCGGAACGTCTCGCAGGTAAAACTTGTAGTTCAAACTATTGACCTCGTTAAAAACTTGAAAAAATCACAGCGTATAACTTAGTAAGAACACCAAGGCTTTCTCTATAAGTCAGAGAAGGTCAGAGCTTGACCTGAGAAGAGTAAAACCTGTGTCTAATACAAATGATGTACCGTCCTTGTCATCGTGGTGTCTTTGTACTGACCTTTATGGGCGTACATGAACCTTCATTATCTAATCGTTCCATATAAAGGCATATTAGTTGGATAGGCTTTAGAGAAACCTACCGGTTCTGGCGCAAAGGCCAAACGAATGCGTTTAAAAGCAAATGGTCCATATTTCTTCATTGATTAAACCTAACCCCTTCGAGTATAACAGCGTGCAAGACACGGTCAAACATGTTGCTTGTACTTTGCCCTCGAGGCAGACTTTGGCGGAGGTAGGTTTGCTGCGAAAACTAGCCACAAAGAAACATACAGCTGAAAATCACGGAAATTTCAACTTACACATTCTATACAAAGTAAAAAAGGTTAAGTAATGTTGAAATATCAACAAATTCAGTGTCAATCCATCCACGCGGGATATTTCAGCACAAAAAAGCACTAATCCGTTGACATAGGGAAACTTTCGAGTGACTTTTTCACTCGCCTTATAACAGTATTAGAACCTCTTGATTTAATCCTGAATTAATACCCGAGAAAAACAAAGTCACGGCATACAAAATGAYACGAATATTAACTCGAACATTGTTTACCTTTATTTATGAATGTTGGATAAAGTTCATGAGTTTTCAAAAGCGATTTTTTTCACACTTTGTTGACGGCTTAGTCATARTTATATATACTTGACAAATGTATCTATGGAATATACTAGTTGTCAACACTAGAGTTTGTGAAGAGTTGCATCTGTATTATTTGTGTAATGGATGTTTACACAAGAAAACGAAGAGCGTGCAAAGCTGCACCATATGTGGAGTCAGAGTTAGTAGAGGAGACAGTCTCCTCTACTAACTCTGGTGGAGTTTATCACTGACTTGCTATGGCGGATCTTTTTTCCCTGACAGTACGCAATAAAAACAAGCACAAAAATGCAGTTCTATCCAAGTCGACATCATTGAGGCATTTTTAGAGGGAGAATATCTCATTTAGTAGTTCAAATTTATCACACTAGAGTGGTTGGCCTTCAAGTTCAACAATCACCTGACTCGATATGAATTCATATTAAAGAAAAAATAACATCAATTAAGGTTTAGATCAAGAGATGCAATTTTTTCATCATGATCTATCAATAATAATTCATGCCTTCGAAATTTTTCTAAAAATTACAAGTATTACTAAGATTCCTCAAATTCCGTAAAAACACGACGAGACAACAAACAATGATTCCTTTTTTTAGTTCTTCTGGTGCATTATAGTCAGAGTTTTACCGCATTATTCTGTTTTTGTTTTTTGTTTTGTTTTGTAATTTTGTTATATACAAATGGTACTTCTTTCTCGTACATGTGAAAATCGCATTGCGTGTGATTTATCGAGTGSGATTCCCTCTGAGCAGTGCCAAGAAATCAAAAGACAACTAAAACACCRTATTTAGTAAAAGCTCAGAAAAGATAATTGCAAGATTATTTTAATTTCCTTCTTTTAGAAATGCCATGTTTTTTTTCTTTTATAAAGAAAGCATTTTTTTTTACCAAAAATGTCGATTTTAAAATGGCTATTGAGTRTAATTGAGGATTTGCTCGTGCGTCCAGWTGACTTCTATGGTCAATAGGTACACAGCAACTCAGGTAAWATCCATGCCTCAAGTAGTTAATAAGGTTAAACGAGACTTGCTGTTTTACGATGCATAAGGTTAATTCAAGATTGAAGATGGCTTGAGGTGAAGTCCGTGATCGTGTAGTTTCAAAAACATCAATGACATGAAAACTATAGGTGTGTGGGCTGGGAGTATCACCTCTGTTCTATACTGTACATAGTAAACAAAAAAAGAAAGATTTAAATCAATACTATCCATAGAACCTTCTCAGTCAATCGTACACAGCCTACATAAATCATGTCCCTAATCCATGTCAAAATGGGTCAATATTTGGTCAAAGAGGGTGATGGGGTAAATATTCTGTAAATTCGCGTGTTTTAGAACTTTGTACAACTTGAATCCTTTGCACAGCTCACTCTCATAAGTTTTATGCGCATTTTTATTGTTATTTGGSCTCAAATTAGYARGTTTTAGTAACAAMTTTGAGTAAATAAATGAAATTGCATCTGTTTCATTTGTGGACAGATATCCTTACACCGATGCTTAATCACACCCATATGAAGACTCGCAAAAGAGGTTAATCCATTATAACAAGCCACGTTGAACTTAAGATTTGGCTTGTGTRGTTCAATTGACTTAGAATAWATTAGTGAGCGTAAAAGCACAAGTGTTGTGTTATTTTTAATAAATTAGTGAAAATACAACTATAAAACGAAGGGCTTTGATCGTATAAGCACTTCAAAGCTGTAAACCGGTTGAGAACTTGTTCTTGAGTTGAAGCATTCAATAATGAATTGAGTTATAAAATAAGGAATAACCGTATTTCAAGCTAAACCGATGTAGTTCCACATTATTTAGATTTGATGGTAAAAAGTAAAGATTTATAATGCAATGAAAAATGATACAAGAGGTGCTGGCACAGCACTGCGTCATCGTTATGAGGCAACTTTCAATTAAATATGAAATCAMAGTCAGTAGTTAAAACCGAACCGAATGCTCATTTTCTCTCAGTGCTTGTGACTTCTGATTTCAAGTTAGTCTCAGCCTTGTGATTTGGTTTTGCACCAGTTATGTCCAATGGGTAAACAAGTCGGCTGTGTTGATACTAGAAAGCTTTGTATTTAACAAATGCTCTYCAAGGAATGTCATGAAATAGAGAGCAAAAACGCATTATTTAATTTTTATATCTAGTCATAAGCTAAGAAGTGCAGGATGTCCTACATTCATTAAATCCAMTTTATTTGAAAGTACAAATATCATGCCTAAAATAGACTGGGATATGTTGTACGAATGATGCAGCTTAAGGTGATCTACCCCATAGATTTTCTTTAGATTTTCTATTCGCTAGATAAGGATTTATCCACCAGTTGATAGTGATATTTATCCTTCGCTGGCAACAGCATTGTAGCTGAAGTTAACTTTCCACAAAGATAAACTTTGAAATCCTTTGTGAAATTTCTGTATTGAGTCATTGAATGAATATCGTGTCTATCTATAACGTTGTTTGCATACCCTCCCTTGAAGTACTGAAACTCCTCAATGACTAATTAACAAATAAATCTAAAATGTACAGAACACAGTTTTGGGAACATGACCCTGCATTKGCATATCAAAATGCTGCCCTAAAGCACATAATTCTATAGGTCTTTATGTACGTGTATTTGTAGGCATTGAGTGGAAAAGTGAGGCACCCTTATAACAMGATATTTGAGAAAGGTGTGTCAAGACGAGGATAATAAGATTACTATCATTAGCAAGTAATCGATATGCCATTAATTGGATAAAGAGTTGTTTCATTTGCTTTGTGTGTATACGAAAAACACTTATATATATTTTATGATAATCTTTTTTCCTTATCAATGAAGTGTTTTATGTGGATTTTCAATTTCGATTTTGTGGCATTGTGTTCAATGATGGGGTGGGTCAAAGTATTGGTGGCCTAATTATTTGACCTTCATGATCACCTTGCCATATGACATCTTTTCATTTCAGTAATTGCTTCTTTGTTTACTTACTTACTTATTTGTTTGTTTATTGTTTATTRCTTTGGATTGCTAACGTAGTGCCTTTCTTGTTGGCTGGTTGGTTTTTTGATAAAACTAATGATAGGATATGTATTGTTGTTTTGATGAAAAGAAACCCTTGCCTTCGAGCAGAAGAATGGTAAAATGCTCGGATTCCAGGCTGATGAAGAAATGGTTGGTTTGTCGGTATATAATAAATTAGCTGGTTGTTTCGGCTGATTGGTTGGTTTATAAGTTGGAGTGGTTGGTAGATGTGCTGTTAGTTAGGTTTGTTAGTTGACAAGTCTGCTGTAATTGTTTTTTTGTATTTGAATTATAATGGTCAATTTTTACTAAGTTGTTATTTGTGAATTGACAAGTTGGTTAGTTTGTCGGTAGATAAGTAAATATAGGTTGGGTAATCATTRGTGGATTCAGTGTAAGTTGGCTAGATTATTCGGATTATTTATTTTAATTTGGTTTGGTCTGTAGATTGATAGCTTAGATGGTTTGTTTAAAAAATACCAACTAAGCATAATTCTTAACTACTTTCCTTTTCCAGATATTATTATGGAAACACGTGATGGAAAGTTAAAAAAGAAACCCAAGCGCATGCGCACTTGCTTTACACCCTACCAGCTCCAAGTATTAGARAACACYTTYGCCAGGACRCATTACCCTGATGTGATGTTAAGAGAGCAGTTAGCATCCTACACTAATCTAGCGGAAACACGAATTCAGGTGAGTCAATGCATAACCAAACCAAAGAAATGAAATGTAATTTTCAATGTTTGTAATATTCATGTATGTAACGTGATTTATAGCTACATGTGATATGGTAGTGAGATAAAAACAGATTCCTCACAACTAAATAAGGTAAAATTACTTATTCTTAAGGTATGGTTTAAAAACAGAAGAGCCAAGCATCGGAGACAGCCAGAAAGCGTTTCTAAAGAAACCTGCAATAGTGCTTTTACAAACGTCGAAMATAGAAAACCCGGTTTTGTTCCAACTTCAGCCAGTTGCTTCCCTGTGCACGAGCCACTTGGTAACATCCCGGTAAATAATCAAATACCGGGGAATTGTCATCAAAATACCGTAGACGTGCAAACTCCATTACCTTCGTTTCATTCGCTGATAACGTCATCATGCCATCAACCAGGAACGCATAGTACATGCATGTCGTGCCCATGGAGCATGCGCTGTCCCTTACCACCAGTATCTCACTCGCTTACTACAGCAATATCAGATGGTCAGCGRTTTTGTACAGGGTCATTAGATGGGCGTGGTATTCCCAGACTACCCCTGGGGTATCATTGATTGGAATTAAGTCTAGTGTACAGATCAGAGTAGATCAGTAGTAATCTAGAGTAGAAAGAGGGGTGTGACCAGATGCATGTTTGTATAAACCGCACTTACAGTCTTTTTTAAACATTGTCGCTGTCAACGCAACGCGACTAGATCGAAAAGGAGTATGGGTAGTAAATGACATCCATCCAAGTAACAATGGGGATTGAAAATAAAAAGTAATATTTTCTTTKCGTTTTGAGCAAGGATAAAAAGAGACGGTATGAATCATCATATATGTTCTACATTTGAATAATAATCATTGTCCGATTGATGAAAGACTTTTATCCATGATTCTTTTCGGTMAGCCACGTTGCGTGGGGAGATTARCGAAGCCCATTCACGCGATAAGACTTCATTTAAGCTCATACCAAATATATCCTCTGTGTAAATTGTAACATTCTTAGTAGTTACAGAGTTATCTAGTATTATATTTAACCATTATATATATTATGATATAGTAGAATTTATAAAAGTAAAGTAGAATTTATATCGATACTCTAATCTAAAGGCTCAAATTATATTATGATGGAATTACTCATTGTTTGAATAATACGTAAGCAAACTTATAATAGAAAATATTCTACGACTGTACAAAAACTACAATACATATGCGCCATATGTGCGCGATCTTTTCTTAGTTCGATGTTTTCTTTGATGTCAGTACMAKRCGAGACAGTGCGTCGCCTGCGTAACCAGGCGTTCCAAGCCGCACCGAGGGAGCTTGGGCCTGAGGAACGCGTTTCTCTCTTTCGGAGATGCTGGGAAKGTCTTGTTACGCAGGCTAGACCGTGCGGTGATCCATGTCTTTAGACTTTCATATGGAACCCTCTRCATTAATGCGTTCACGTAGCCTTTTATAAAAATATAAATATTCTCAAAAAATCTAAAACCGTGTATAATTGACTTATTATGTGAACGCTTCATACTAAAATTTTCGACGTATAYATATTTAWGAATATATAAATATCAATTTAATTTATTCTACTATAATTTTTATTTTATTCATTTTTATGTAATAATTTTTATATTTTTTTTATTGTTTTGTGAGCTTTGTCCTTGTAAGACGAAGCCAAATATATGATTAATGTAGACTGTTTAGATTAGTTTAGATTAGTAAATATAGATATAGAACTTATAGCTAAATAGATACACAAACATATAGAAGAAGTAAAATCATTTTAGAGTGTTTTTAATTTTAAAAAGACGAGTGCATTTTCTAAATAAACAATTAATTCTAATACATGGTGTCTAAGAACTGTTTAGGAGAAATGGACAAGAAAAAATAGAAGAAGAAAAAGAGAGTAAAAAAGAAAGAAAGAAAGAAAGAACTTAAAGAAAGAAAAAACGAAAAAAAGGGAAAAAAGGAAAAAATAACTTAGAGTAATTTTTTATTGTAGTTGTTCTTGTTGTAGTCCGAACTTGTCGTTATGCACATGGAAAAAGAGAAAAAAAAGTTGATTAACTGCCAAAGTTTTTAGTCCAAAAACGAAAATAAATTTATGTGCGCAGTACAGACAATACAGAAATGTTACAATGGTATATATGTTCCAATATCGGTCGACATGCGAGCCAAACAAGACGGATTGCTGGCGCTTACAATGTGTCCATGATTGCAAGCTGATGGCTTGCCTCATGCTTGTTTTCGATAAATGACTTGCTGATAGTAAAGCAATATCGCATAATGGATGCCACATTGAATATAGCTAAGAAAACAAAAAAATGATCATGAAGCGAAATCAAGTAGTTTAGCGTGCTTTCATCACGCGTAAATGTAAATTAAAAAAAAAACTTATAGGCATGTAGATTCAATTGAGGCTACTGAAGTAAAATTCTATAACAAGCAATTGTGGTACAGTTTTAGTCTGTTCGTTTTCGCTATTATACACAACAATATTGAGAATCTTAGGTCCTTTAGTCCCTCGTGCCTTTATTCGACATATTTTAGTTTTCATGAGAAAAAAATGTTATTTCTGAGAGTCATGCCTGGMAAACACTTGTTAGTCATTCATCTGGCTGGGACATTTTCTAATATAAGAAACCAAACTAACTAAAATAGGAAATGAGCCTTTTCGTGGACTGATGCAATCACCTTTTAGAGCATCAAGTATACACTCTTCATATTCATATGTAACTAAATAGATCAATAAATTCTTCTTCATTTTGRATCATTAAGATTTAAGATTTTTTAATTTTTTACTTCTTAAAAGAAGTAATTAAGATTTTTTCGATTTCTAGTGAACTCTGTATGCTTACTTCAGACTTGTGCGTTCCATACAATTCTCCTGACTCTATAGCAAAACAAAAGTTTCGAAGTGTTTTTTCTTTTTTAGTTTATTTTTATATCTTAAGATAATTATCAAAGATTATATTTGCAGTGTAAAAAAGTCATATTTGCTTTTTATTGCGATGTTTTTTCTCGACCCTGTAAAAGTTCGTCAATTTCGCTAATTGTTTTTCGATATCATGCGTTTTCAAAGTGATTTGTCTTTTCTTGATATAAACTTATTTCTTTTCTTACTACTTCCTTTAATGATCAAACATAAAATTTTGCAGTAAAACGGATTTTTTAAATAAGAATGGTCCATGTTTTAGGAAGCATATCAACATAAAACTGACAAAACATCTGGATGTATGTTTATTTGTACAYGAAAGCCAGACATAATATCACATTAGGGATCTGTGTAGTATACAACAGGTACMTACAATGTACCTCAATACGCCAAACAAACATGTTGCACATAGTAGCCACTTTCAATTCCAAAGAAATATGAATTAGAAACAACTGTTTAGCTTATCTACCTGTTCAGTACGCTAGAGTTCTTTAGAATGAACCGTAGTAAAATAAAGCCACCAGTTCAATATTGTTTCTTGAACTAAYTACGAGAAGACGAGCTGCTATCTCAGGCTGACACTCGARGTTTATCAATGAAAACAATGCCATGCTAGTAAGTCACAATGACTGTAAACAGGCCCTGTAAACTATACCGCTTGTATCACCAGGAATGAAATTTCTTATATACAACATCTACTTCAGAAGTGACATGGAATAAACTAAAAAAGATTAGCGWTTAATTTGTCAATAAACACATGACTCGTTGAAAAGATCTTTTAGTGGACTCTCTCCTTTGTTTCTTAATTTTAACTCTTGAGTTGTAACATTTCTTTTAAAGCTTTTCAGATTAGAAAAAAAAAAGCGCTGAGTAAACTGAGGTCTGTCACTCATTATTGCTCTAGAAACAAAGCCAGTCAGAGTGTAATTGTCTGGTAAAGGAAGCAGTCTTTCAAAACATACAGGCCTGTAGGCTGCCTTGTTTTTTTTTTCAAAATGCGGACCTAAATTAAATGTTTAACTAAATTAGTTCAATGCACAGTACAGGGTGTAAGAACTGGCTGCTAGTATGAGTAGTTCATAACAAATTACTCAAAAACAGTTCATAACAAAAGAATTTTAAAATATAACAATAAAAACAAGAGAAAAACAAGAGAAAAAAATAAAAATCTCGTAACACGAAAGAACTTTATCTTTACTRAAACTGTTGCTGGATTTAATGTGGGTTTCCTGTGTAGGRAAACGCTGCCTTTTGGAAACGSCTTTATCCTCTTCAAAGATCCCCTTTTCTGCAGCGGTTCAGTTTAAGACTAAGGGAATACAATCCACCCTTAACAATGCATTGCGCGCCAGAATTCATATCAGCCATGATCTCTTCCGAGMGAAATTGGTGGGATATAGAAACATGAAATGGCAATGTTTTTCCACAACAAAAAACCCCGATATATCTTGAGCYAGCGTTTCTCTTACTCGTTTAACGGGTCGTGGTGCATCAAGGGAAGTTCGAACTCTTGATCCTTTGCACGCGAGAGTAACGACTGGGTACGAGTCTGTATTAACTAGGGAGAGCCTACATAGCACTCAGTTGATGTAATATATTCATAAAGATATAATACAAAACACATAATACAATAGAACGAGAAACAATGGAATACAATACATTTTATGAATACATTACATCAACTGCGTGCTACGTAGGTCACCCCGTATTAACTAAGCCTTGGACTCAGCTAATGCTAATTAGCATAATTAATCACCAGTACAGAAAGCGCGAGCTCACGCAGTTATGCGTCTAGTTACGTAAGTTGTCTACAATTGCAGCCACGCAGCGGCAAACGTTTCCGCTATTAATTTATTTTTATCTCCAACGCCGAAGCTTTGACTCTTTCGAAAAAAACAAACGAGTAACGACAAACGTTAGTCGCGCTGCGTGGCTCGACAATATTAATAAATAAGCACGATAATCAGCCAAGTCTCTGGAACCATGTAACAACATTTTCAGTCTTGTCTTTCATCGTTTGTCAACAAATGTGTTCCTTAATTATTTTCATTTTCGTCTGTGAATAGAACTACCAGATTTAAAAAAAAAAAGAACAATACCTCTAGATAAATTCCCTGAGGATATTTTGTATAAGCTCCTGAATGACTGATATACACCCTTTTAATAAGTTCCGAGGTATTGTGTTCTCCGCACTTGACGTCAAATTTATTCTTTTGAAWTTTTTACAATACAAAAGGAATTCAAAAGAATAAATTTGACGTCAAGTGCGGAGAACACAATACCTTGGGACTTATTAAAAGGGTGTATACATGCATTACTGGACTCTATAATAGAATAAGTGAGGCCGGCTACAATGCCAAGTTTTTATAGCTGAAAAAGAGCTCAAATGCCCAGTTACCAAGTCTGGAATCATTTAGAAACTAAAGGTCGGGTGCTTTAATCAGCTAGGATATTATATCCTGCAGCCTGCAGCCTGCAGGCTTTTGCTCTTCCAATTAGTGCAGTACTAACATGATGATTCTAGTACCAGCAGTAAACCTTGATTTGCTTCTGTAGCTGTCTCAGATAAAACTGTACTTGGCGCRCCGCTAAAAAACTGGTTTGAATGGAATGGATTCAACTTTTCACAAAAAGTCAATAATAGTTAGTTGATAAGATCCCAATTAGTAGAAGTAGCGCTGACTGAGTCGCTGTGCGTTGCTATCAGAACCCCGCCTAAACCAAGGTTTGTTTTGCTATTTGTGGTTTTGCTAATAAAGCATTTTTTTTGCACTGCTTTGTGTTATCGCTGGATAGACAAGACCCCCGTAGCGAAATTTTGCTCAGCAACCCACTGGAGCACATGAATGACATGAGCTGGCTTGGGAGGAGAACTCAAATTTATTTTGTTCGGCGATTTTCAAATAACAGTTTAATTTGAACACCTAAAATTTTATGAAATGATTGTACGTACCCAGACGACATCTACTCGCGCCAGCGACTATAGCGCTTTTATTTTGCGGCAAATACCTGAAAAAGTATTTTTTTTTTCTGATAGTCCATTAAAGAGGGTCTCAATAGGGGGTCCGCATCACGACTCACGGCTAAAAATTGGGCTTTTTCACGCCTCACGGCTAATTTTTTTCACATTTCCACGACTCACGGCTAATTTTTCAGCCGTTTCACGGCTAATTTTTCTCATTTTTTACGATTCACGGTTAATTTTTTAGCCGTTTCACGGCTCACGGTTAACCCCATTGAGACCCTCATTAAATGCAAATAATGTCTAAACGTTAAACACTAAGGTTGATGTAGGAAAGTACGTTATGAAATGTGTAAACGTGTTTGAAATGTATTGAAGTTGCACATAAAATGAACTTTGGGTCCGCAAGAATTATCAGCGGAAAATGTCAATTGAGACGCAGTTCTCTTGACCACATGTCTGTCTCAAAAATCCTGTCTACAATTTTTGATACACGCTTTGTTTTCGTAGTTATGGTATTATAGAGTTTGAGAGCGAAAAATTAGATCACTTTTCTCAAAAGACCTTCAATAACTTTTGAGTGAGGGCAGAAAATCACAATCGCAGACACAATCGTTAACCTCATGTAAACAAATTTACAATGTTTGGGCAAAAGGAGCTGACTGTGGGGTATTGACTTTGAATCCTGGGGGTGGGGGATGATTGATTAGTCCAGGTTTGAACGGGGACGTTGCGCCGAAACCTCTAAATCCTGAAGCTTTTTTTCTAATACTTTTATTTCAAGAAACACAATCCAAACCCTGATGCTATGCAAG